AATAGATATATATAATAGATCAAAACCTTTTTAAAGCAAAGGTTTTCACAAAACAAAATCTGATAGGTTTAAAATATATGTCTGAATAAGTTGTTGAATACGTTGAAACCGTGGTTGTCAAAATTTAAAACTCGCATCTAATCTAATCTAAATCAAGGTGAATTCAGTACTACAATAAGCTACAGGTTAAGAGTCATATTTAGATTTCATTTCTCATAATTTGATCTCACTTTTCCTTTTTTTCCCCCCAGATGCTCTTGACAGCACAGCTTGAAAGCCTTCACTTGACTCTATCTATACTGTCCTTTCCTCATCTTCGGCCACCGTCTCAATGTGTGGAACTGTGCCATTCCAATGCCCAGCAGACCCATAAGAGGACAGGGAAAGGGGTCACTCAAGAATAAGGCCTTGTTCACCTCCTCTGTTTTGGTTTACTCCCTCTCCCACTTTCTCTTTTCCCCCTCGCTCTCTCTCTCACTAGTTTGGCCCCAGCTGTCCATCAGCCCCCCCGCAGTTCTCCCAGCTGTCTCGGCTCTCTGAACGAACAGCCTCACAACAATGCAGGTCAGAGGTTGAGAGAAAGAACACACTGCACTTACAATAGACCAGTGGCGCCCGCTAAAACAATCGCTCCCTTTTTCTCCTTCACTTCTCTCGCCTTGCCAGGGCTGAAAAAGACAACCTTTGGAGCGGTGGATGAGGTGGGGTCCACTTCAGGCAAAACACCCTCTGAGGTACCCATTCTCATCTTAATGGCGTTTTCAACAATAAACACACGTTCACACACAGGTTCTCTGGCTTGTCACCCCATCATCCCTCCGTTTGTCCATTTGGAGAGGCATTGCATTGTCCGGTATGAGCACAGAGCTAAAGTCAACGATCGCCCTGTACTCCGATGATTTAAAGGTTTATGGAAAAATGCAAACAGTGTCTGCAAACATTTTCACCCTCTTTTTTTCTCCCTACACCAACCCCCTTTTTGTGTACTTGTTTTGTTTTGTTGATTTCCCCAACCATTTTGGCAATGAAAAGGCTGGGAAAATGCAAGTGAGTGTGAAAGGCGATCCCATGACACAGTCACCTGTTCCACAGCTATGTGTTCCCATGGCTCCACGTGCTCCACTGACTCCCATGCCCATCATAACACTAATATTAATCACTAAAATGGCTATTATACATATGACTCAATATGATTATTATACCTATGATCACCTTACAAATTCAGTGATTGCAATTTTTGTTTACATTTGTGTGTATATATATATATATATATATATACAGACAGACAGACAGACAGACAGAGAGAGACAGACAGACAGATATACTTTTTTAATCTCTTTTTTTCTAGGAAGTCTATAAATACATTTGGTCACACATTAGAGAATATTCAGCATGACTATGAAATAAAGATCAAGCATAATAGTGCAACATTTGATTATAATGACAAAAAAATCTAATTAAGTATTGCATTATTATCTTGAAATGCAATGTATTTTTTAAAATGTCTGGTTTTATTGTTAAAATTGGTATTCTCGCTGGTAAAATGTTTCATTATGTTTTCAGTTTACATTATAGAATCTCTAAACGAATTCGATCATAATACCAATGATAAAAAAGCAAAATGAAGAAACAAATTTGTCATATTATATAAGAATATTTATTTTTATTAAGTGCGAAACAGGTAAATATATACAAATGCTTCAGCAAAATTACAAATATTGTGGAGAATGACAAAAATACATTACACTGAATGAATTCCAATAAATAAATTAGATACTTTATGATAATTGGTAGCAGTGACTGGCAGTGTACCAAAAAAACAATAAAAACAGTGTTGACAAATTGTTTCAAAACATACAATTGTCATCAAAATAAATATTAAATACAGTCATAAATAAATGCATTTGTTATGGCAAATGTAGTGTACTAAATTTGTCCTTTTCCTTCATTCTTTCTATTTTTTTTTTCTTAAGTGTTTTGCTTAGTGGGAAATCAGCATCTGGTTGAACAGTGTCAAAAATACTAAAAACCTTCCAGTTTGTCTATGTGTCAGTACTGATGCACTTTTATTGCATGTGCACCAAAGTCATCATCCAATTTGAGGTGGAGAACATCAAGTTTATACAGAATACAAATCCCCGAACAATTAAAAATAACATTTAAAGAAGTAACAAATTCAGTCATGACAAAAACAAGAATAAATTAACGAAAAATATACATCTCTTTCTCAGTACTTCAGTTGCCACAGTTAGGTTGCATTTCAGATAGTCTCTCTCACTGACTGCTATGGTCTCTTAAGGGATCAGACAGGATACATGCAAAGTGTCTCCTTAAATGTGCTGCACCCCTGGAAGCACACTGAGGAGCAGGAGGCAGAATTGCTGAGAGTCTGTGGTGGTCATATCTGTTTATTCACTGTAAATGCTGCTCATCTGTGATGTCACAATATGCGAAGGGGTAAACGGCTCGAAAGCTATGTCTAAAGGAAGCTCAAAACGGGAACCTGGGAACAGCGGGTGACCCTGAGGAGCTGGAAGACCAGCCAAAGAGGAAGGTGGGTAAGGGTGTGAGGAGATGTAATGGGTGGCGTGAGTCGGGTGGGGGGTAAAGTTCCTCTCAGCCTCATGTGGCGACGGCTCCTGCTTGAGGGCGAAGTTGCTGCTGATGCTGAGCGGTGGAGTAAGAGGGCCATCATAAGGTGGCGTGGCGCTGCTACATTCGTTGGGTGAGGAGTTCTCATAGTTAGCCCCCTTGAAGCCCTTCAGATGAAGCAAGTGTGAGGCCTCCAATGAGCCGTAGGGTGGACTGGGAAGTCCCGGTGAGGGATAGCTAATGGGGTGACCCTGAGGACCACCTACTCCTGGAACCCCGCACTTTTCATCCAGCTTGTTGATCAGCATGGACGAGGGTCCAAGTTGGAGGCAGCCAGCCACGAGGTTGCTGGTAGGTTGCGAAAGCCCCTTGCATAGCATCTCCACAAAACCATGGCTCTCGGGTGACTGGCCACTCTCCAGAACCTCCGATAGCGCCCAGATGTAGTTGTGGGCCAGCCGCAGGGTCTCAATTTTGGAGAGCTTCTGGGTCTTCGAGTAACAAGGCATTACGCGCCGCAAGTTGTCCAATGCATCGTTCAGCCCATGCATGCGCGAACGTTCCCTGGCATTGGCCTTGACGCGTCGGACACGGAAACGCTCTTGTCTGGCTTTGGTAATTTTCTTCTTTTTAGGACCTCTTCTCTTGGGTGCCTTTTCGCCGTCGAGACCCACTTCTTCCTCTTCCTCTTCTTCCTCCATATCATCACTCCCAAGCTCTACAGGTCTCCTGTGTAGCGGATAGTGACCAATCTCAGGTGTCCGGTCACCATCCGGTGAGCTGAGGTCTTCCTCCATCCATCCAAGGGAGCTAACTAGCTCAGTCACATCCCCTGGTTTTCCATAAGGTTTGGTCATCATTGTGACCTAAGAGCACATGAGAAAGATTTGTGAGTACATTCAAATCCAAATAAAACCTTATTTACACCTCTATGGGTTTAGATGTTCAGAGTATGACTGAATTGTGCTCCTCGCCCAAGTTAAGACCCTCATAATGGAGAGACTTGACAGACAGCACGATTATTTTGATGATTATTATATAGCTTACAGCTCTATAATTCCATTTCTTCTCTCAGTTTTAATGCTCAATCTAATGGAAAATACTTTCTGCATGACCCCTTTGATTTCCGCAGTCATTTTGGAGACGCTGTCCAATCTGGGACACGACTGGATTTAGTCCACAGATAAAGCGCTCGGATTTAATTTGAGGGAAGCCTGTAAACCGGAATCAACAAACACAGGACCAAGCCACACTAATACTAGAACAGTGTTGAATTTGATTTGATTGAAAGACTGATGTCCCTAAATATAATTGTCCCTAAATATATTTTTTTGTCACAGAGATTTGTCGGCATCCTAATATTCTTGCGCTGATGAACAGCCTATTCTATTTGTTTTCTTTTAAAACTCTAGAGCGCGCTTTTTAGCGAAGTGTTTAGATTCTAATTAAAGTTACATTCTATTGTGCCATTCATAAACATTCGTTGTATTCATGCATTGGTGCGTGTTATTCTTTTATAAGTAGAACGCAAAAGTTTGTACTAATGAATGGACCAAAGGCGGCCCACATTTCGACTGGATTAATTTATCTGCATTGTTAAAAAATTAATAATAATAAAAAAATAAATGTAATTAATTTTTTAAAATAAAGTTTAAGTTTAATTGCTCCCTAAAAATGAAATAAAAATGGTGCCAAACTGATTCACTCAGAAGTGGTGAGTTAATTTTTTCGGCCATTATTTAGTTACTGATGAATTTGAGAAGATCAAGTATGACATGCATGTAGTGAAAACGTTTGCCTACGGATTACCCTGCGTTTAGAACCAATGCTATTTAATTTTAACACACACACACACATATATATATATATATATATATATATAATTCCTGTTCATTCAGTTATTTGTGTAATAATAATTATTATTATTTAAAAAAACGAGAAATTAAAAATATATATATTTTTTAAATCTGAATTTTGTAATAAATCCTGAAATAAGAATCTATTTGATCATACATGGGATTAGCCTACAACATCTTCAAAAAAAGAACTTTCATTTTTGCACAAAGAGCTGAAAACAGCCTAATATACACATATTTAGCCTATATAAATACATTTTTAAAAAGTATTAAAAACAACCGTACCTGTTAACGTAGCACCTGGCGTCACTTCAATAAAAGTTTTTTAAAAAAGGTGGTCAGAAAGCCTGAACGCACTGTTAAAATGTTTAAAGGAATTGCTGTAAAAACAGAAAAACAAAGTTCCAGACTCCCAGCTGATGGTTTGTGTATGTCAACAGTCCGTCTGCGCCAGTGCAGGTCCGTTAGCTCTCCATTGGTGCGTCAGAGCGTGTCGCATGCCTAACTGAAGCGCAATGACTCCCGGCTTTGACTTTCTAGAGATGCTCACAAGCTCCGCCCACAAGCCCCCTACCCCCTCCAGCTGATCCGAACGCGCGTGGCGCGCTCGTGGCCAAAAGTTTCACGACTTAAGTGTGTGCATTTATCCCCCGGGCTTTGTGTCTGAGTGTTCGCAGTTGTGTAGAGGGAACGATGCAACTTCCCTTATACATTATCCTTATAAATCTTGCAAGGTGAGAGGCTTTGCAATCCATTTGACATTTGTTAGAGAGAAGATTGCAAATGTCAGCAGTATTTGGGTCAATGACGTGTCGCTCATAGATAGGCTATGTATTTTAATCTATTACGTAATTCAAAATGTATTTAAAATGTAGTTCAATGTAGAACATGTTTTTCAATTATTCTTTTATACTGTAGGGCTTTAAAATTCCTGTCTGGAGGACAAAAACGTTTCATTAAAAGGTTTTACATTTTTGAAACAAGAAATGTTGGCATAATATTTTATTATTATTTAAGAAAAAAGTTTGTTTTGTGTTAAATCATGGTTGATACAAATTAAGTAGGCTAATCGATTTAAGTGGTGTAATCAACATACAATGAGTAATTTTAAACTTTACATGATAGAAAACACTTTTAGACCCTCATGACTGTCACATTTATTAATTAAAAAAAAATCACGAACTACTTTTTTGTTGTTGAATTGATGCTCAACAGCACATTACTTTCGTTTACTGGATTATGTAATACACCAGTTGATTTGTAGGCTATTCCAAATTGAAAATAGCCAATCATTGAGACTCTATATATCACTCTCCGCTTTTCTTTCGTGACCTAACGAAATTTTCTGTCCCAATAAAGCCTGCTCAGTGCTGGGTTAATACTCCTGAGCCCTATTTGGTTTATGGCGAGGTCAAACGTTGGTCTTAACTCTAATTACAGTAGTCTAGTGTACAAAGACGCGCGCGCGTCCCAGTAAATGATTGTGACAGCTTGGTGCAGGGTGAGCAGGTGTGTTGCTCACCCGTTTCATTCATTCGCTCCGTCCGCTCATTAGCGCCCTTCGGCCCACCAAAACATAACGCTCAATAACTGCTGGATTAATCAAGCCAAAACGGTTTTGTTTCGCTAAGATAACTCACTCAGCCGTGCATGCTGCGCCCGAGGGCGATTTGCCCCACGAAATAGGCTACTCTTATCTGAAACTATTTATTAGACTAGATATGCAACAGATAGGCCTACTTACTATGGGCATCTTGTAATTCACGAACGTATAATTATGTAAAGAACACGTGATAATATCACAAAAATGTCCATTTCAGAACTTTCCCAAGGTGGACGCCTCCAAGAGCCCGCGAATGAAATCGACGCCGTGAAGAATGACGTAGGCTACACGTTTTCTTTAAATATATTGGCAAGTTTTTAACTTTGCGGTGGGTCCTGGCGCAACATTTAAAATACTTTTTGTAAAAAGAAAAAAAAGGTGAAAAAAAAAACATATATAACGTGTTAACAAATTGCTGTGAGAAAGTAGCCTATAACTTATTCAACAGATAGCTTACTCTTTCAACACAGCCTCGTTTTCATGCAAGACATTTTTTTATGTTGCGTCCACCCTGAATAATGTCAATTTATTCACCGATCAATTCAAATTGCTCTCTCTTGCATTTGAACGGTTTTTTTTTTGTCTATAAATATATTTATACTAATATATTAACATAATAAAATAAACGTTCTTTATAGTGAACTTTTTAAGTTGTCACTTAAAGTGAAAAAAGTTTTAGTTTAAACTATAGCTATATTATATATATATATATATAACAAGAAAATAGCATTCTGTGCATTTTTCAGCATTTATGAAGTTTTGCCCTGTTAAATTGATATAGTTTGACTTTATTTGCCAAAATGGGGCTACATATTATGTGTTCATACCACAGTAGGGGCTCTATTGTAGTAGTGTGCTATTGACTGTGGGGCTTCAGGTCACACGTGTCCTCACACTGATCCCATTGTATGTGCCAAGTGTGCACATCTGTGGCCTAGACAGTCTGCTCACACTCAAAAAATTTTGGTAACACTTAAAATTAACTTTCATTCTAAATCTAATGCTAACAGATCAGAGAATGACTATACTTTTAAATAGTTTGAAATGGAAAAGTGATCCACAGTGATCTTTCAATTGCTAGCCACCATTTATAATTGGTATAGAGGTTCACTTAAACGTTTAAGTCAAGCCGGACACTGGTGAATGAACAGATGGGCTTAAGTGATGCGTCTGCTGCACCAGCGCTCACGCGCCAGTCGCCTGCCTACCATAATCTCTCGTGCGACAACACAATAGGACAATATCCATACCGCTAGTTCACTCGGGTGATGCTTCTTTCCTTTCACACAAAGGAGGAAGGCTTCCACTTGGCGGCATAGAAGTGATGTTAAGATAGAAAATCTATGCACTGATGAAGATAGGAAGCCTTTGCTATGGTAACACTCAACAATCAATGTCCAATTAATCATGATTAACTTGAAAGAAAACAGCCATAAACATAAAGTAAAAAAATAACTTGAATATTCTCTTTTTAACACTCATTTTCAAGCCACTGAGAATCTGTTTCTGAGAAACTGGCCTTCAGATTGTCGGTAGAATAATTGTCATAGAAAGGGTAAAAGTGTGTTCAGAGTGGTATACTGTCCCATATGAACCAGGGATCACATGTGTGTCAACAGTATGTACACCTATAGTAACTGTGTCATGCTTCCCCAAAGATCCCAGGGTAACCCTGCTTCTCCACAACTTCACCTCCCAGGAGTGTTTCACAATGCTGTGTCACACCTGCAACCTGTATTGGGAATTACTGTGTTGAGCCCAAACTCTCCTCCCTTGTGCCCTACCGTCAGACAGCTAACTTAGGGACCAAGGCCTGCTGCATTTTCTAGTCCACCTCAACCAGAAGTGAACACCACAATCACAAGAGACCATTTACTCCTTTTTACCATCTGACCTTAACACTAAGAGTTTCATGAGGCTTTCTTAAGTGTTCATGCAGTGGGTCTTCATGGAAAATCTGTGAATGCAGAGCCACGAGACCAGCGGTATACTCAATAGACAACCTCCTGTTGAGACAGTTTAGAGTTCAAATTATATCCAGAGGAACAGCACACAGAACTCCCATGACCTCTTTCATTGTTTGGAGTGACAGCTTCTCCCCCCCAACCCCCTCTGCAGTCCCAAGGAATTGCGTTTCTGCAATTATTCAGAAAGTACTGATTGGACTTGAATATATTTCACAGAATGAAACATTAAAATAATACTTTTAAGAGCCAAGTGATAATTTAAGTTCACAAATTACAGAATTTCTCCATAAAGATTGTTGTTCAGAAGAGTTCGGTTCATTGACTGCATAGTTTCATACTCGGCTTTTAACAATAGTCACTGCTGTTGTAGAATATACCACCATTCAAGAGTTTGGGGTCAGTAAGATTTTTTTAAAACAAATTAATACTTTTATTCAATAAGGATACATTAATTTGAACAAAAGTGACAGTAAAGGCATTTAAAATGTTACAAAAGATTTATATTTCAAATAAAAGCTGTTCTTTTGAGCTTTCTATTGATAAAAAAAATCCTAAAAAAATGTTTCCACAAAAAATTAAGCAGCACAACTGTTTTCAACATTGATAATAATAAGAAACCAAATCAGCATATTAAAATGATTTCTGAAGGATCGTGTGACACTGAAAACTGGAGTAATGTCTGATGAAAATCCAGCTGTGCCATCACAGGAATAATAGAAAACATTTATTTTAATTTCATTCTATTACTGTTTCTCTTTTTTTAATCAAATAAATGCAGTGTTGGTAAGCACAAAAGACTTCTATAATAGGGTATTTATCTAGTTTTTACTATAATTAGTTCCAATCTGATGCCGTCATTGTAGTGATCCTAACTGTATTTGTGCCATATAAATATCACACTGTTTTGAAAGAACATTGCTGACAGTCGATTTAACCTTAGGCTTCAACTGAATATATGCAAAACAATAACCAATAACAAAAAATAATATGTATAATATTTGGTTTTATAAAATTAATTGATTGGAGCAAAAATATTTTGTGAATGTGTACCTTTATCTTTATTTAAGTAAATACAATGATGTAAATCTGACAGATTATTAACAACTGCTGATTCACTTCACAGAAGTCATAACCTAAAAAAGACTTGCATTCAATGAGTCAGTTGTGAATGTAGAATCTGTACACATGAGAGAGTTAAAGGCTGTTTCTTGAATCTCTTGAACTGATTCATTAAAAAATAACCTGTCCATTTGTTTGAGAATCGGACATCACAACTCATGTATGCTACAGTGTTTGTTGATGAGTGCAGGAAACACTGATGCATGCTCTAACAAAATTATACCTGACAAAACTACATAGGAAAAGTATACTGAACTAGATTTTAAATTATTTGTCACATTAGCGAACATTTTAGTTGCAGTCTGGAGCTTTGCTATAAAGTTTTTGCTGAATGCATTACACCAAACCCCCCCCCCCATACCTTAAGCAGAAACCTGCAAAACAGACTAATCAAGCGCATCCACCCCCTGTCAACACATCAACGACAATTAGTAGGACGCGTCTCCTTAAGCACACCAGCGATGACTTAGCAGTTGTTTACTCTAGCTGGCTTGTTGTGATGCTGTTGTAGTTCCCTTGGTTGAGAGGCCTTCTCCGTGCCAAAAAACCCACACACCCACAACTATTGCCACAAGTGAGTTATCCTTTTTTGCAGTCCCAAGGGACCTGTTTGGAGTGGGCAGGGGGATTCGTTCGCCTCTCTGACAGATGGGTCCTTGTTTCTGTCTTTCTCTCCCTCACTCCCTCTCTCCTGAGCTCAGACACAGACACACTTGCTTAGACTGAGATTGAACGAATACAATAGGAATTAAAGCCATGCACACATGCTCCCTCTATGTCTCCTGAAAGCTGAGCCCCTTGTAATAATTATAAAAGCAGGGGTGTCTTTGGGTGATGGGGGCTGGGCTGTTGGGGAAAACTTCGATAAAAATTTGGACTTATTGACTTTTTCTAATAATTTTGTAAAAGTTGTAAACAAACTATTCAACCCCCCCCCCCCCCCCCATACCTTAAGCAGAAACCTGCAAAACAGA